TACCCATCCTTCTCACCCATGATAATTTCTTAATTTCTTTTGAATGAGGAGTTTATACTTTTGATAACTCTTTTCTAAATAATTTATTATTTTGGAACAGGTCTTGCATAACCCAAATATCTTTTGAATATAGGGACAGATTTATATTGTATGACAAGCTTCACAAAGACTGGTTTTCTTCCAAAGATTCTCTAAGTGGGTAATTAATACAATTGTCTTCTGTTGCCAGCTAGCATGTGCATTCTGATTTTGAAATATGCAAGGGCATGCTATTAAGAAGTATATATACATTTGGATTGCAGTTCTTAATCACATTACTTTGAGGAAATATTTATAGCAGCAACCTGGGTCAAAGTAAGATGTTTATTAAATGTTATCAATTGGACATACAATCTAAAAACAATGGTCCCATGCTTTCTTGATTTTATCATAACCTGAATCCACTTCCAAAGTAATAACCTTGTTATTAACTTGTATGGATGATTCCCAGGATTATTATAAAGAAGAGTGTCAGCGTTCCAGTTGAGTAGTTGGTTATATATCTCTTAATTCCTACCTTGGAATGGTCATTTGTGAACTGCCTTTTTTAATCCCTCCCCCCAATTAATGTGATTTCTTATTTGTGGAATCACCTTGGTAGTTGTGCTGCCCCACTCTGACACACGTATGGCAGGTGTTTATTCAAACCCCGCAAACAGATTCTTGAAAAGCACTCCTGTTGTGGAGGTCTGAATTCCAAGCTTTGTACAGCAGGAGTCACTAGATAACCTAATCCAAGGGAACTCCAGAGTCCAGGGAAGCAGTGCAGGAGTCAGACAGACCAGGATTTACAGCACAAACACAAAAGGCACAGAACTGGACACATTAGTCCAGCAACACTCAAGTCCTCAGGGTGGAGTTGAATAGACAATGCCAGTGCAGCCCTTCATGAGAGGTGAAGTTGTCTCCTCATGAATAGTCAGGCTAGTTGACTAGTGTTGTGCCTGTCTCCTCTCTGCTCTATGTGTTCTTGGATCAGGAGGAGGTATGGAGCTTTCTGGCCAACTTGCTGCAGCTGTGGCTCACCTCACTGGGCCTTGGCCTGTTTCTTGTCCCATCGACCCAGCTGAGGCTGCTTTATCAGGGCAGCATTCTCTGAACCCTGATCCTGACCAATACTCGGCTCCACAATTTCCTCTGGAGACTCAAACTTGCCCTCTTCCTCTGAACTCGCATCTGGAGAAGGATCTGGGAGCAGATCCCAGTGGTCAAAGGAACCACCACCAAAGATGGTCAAAGACATGAGGAGTAAGCCATGTCTTTATGTATATTACATGGCAGCCAGAGGTTGTATTCAGCAGGTTCTGACCAGTTCTGGAGAACCGTTAGTAGAAATTTTGAGTAGTTCGGAGAACCGGCAAATCCCACCTCTGACTGGAGATTTTACAGTATCCTTCCCCTGCCACGGCCACCAGGCCATGCCCACAGAACTGGTAGTAAAAAAAAATTGAATCCCACCACTGATGGCAGTAGAAGTCCTGCCAAAACAGTCCTTAAACTCTAAAATTTTCCAAAGAAGAAATTGTACAAGTGCAAATATTGTATATCTGTATATTCACAGAAGTTTCAAAAAACTATCACCAATTCCCAGATGACAAATTCAGACAAATTGCTTAATATTTAGTGATGATAAAAATTAGCAGATTTCAGTATTTGCACTTAGCTCATTACATTACTATACCCAGTCTGTTATCCCAAAGGAGCACTTGGTTCTCCTCCCTACTTACTCTCAAATAATTAAAATAATATAGTGATTGGTTTAGTTTAAGAGATGTCAACATTATTCAGTGAGTTACAAGCATAAGGATTTAAGTATAAGATCCCTGATTCTGAACCAGCTGAATAGTTTTTCATTGTGCGGTAACATAAAGTAATGTAAATGTTCATATTATGATTTTCCAAATTCACTCTTAAGTCCTCAGATGCAAATATCTTGGTTGGGTCAGCAGAAATTGGAAGATTTAAGTCGAAAGGACAGGACGGGAATGAACTACATGAAAGGAAGAAGTGGTGTGAGACATACAGTGTAAGTATTCAGTAGGAGTCAGGAATACATTTAAGTGTGAAATTATTTTAACAATTAGTGGATAAAAGTTTCTCTAATATATACTGTATATTTTTGGATTGTCTAAAATACCTTGAAGTCATAGCCAAAATTATGAAATATCTGCATCTTTGGAACAAAGTATTTATCTAAATATGATTACAAGTATTTATAAAAATAAAGTTTAAAATATAAAAATACAAAGTATTTATAATACAAAGTATTTATTTAAAACAAAGTTTTAACTTTGTTTTAAATATCAAAGCAAGTCTCTAAATTGCAGTGCAAATAGAACTTTTAAGTTAGGATGTGCATATAATGGAAACTGTATTCTGAGTTCCAACAAGATACCACACCCCCAACCAAATTAAAAAAAAAATCCCCTAAATGTTTTGAATGTGAAATAAGCAGAATTCAGAATAAGCCTTTACAGCTTCAAGGATCTGAACAATTCTAACTCTCGTTAGAAATTTGTAGCGCAGAACTTCATGAAGCTAAATAACTAATTTCTCTAGGAGTTTAGATATTATATTTAAAGGGCAAGTGAGGAAGTCTGTTTTTGATCTTTCATACATGTAAAACTTTTGATCCATTATTTCCTCCACAGTGCCATTCTGGGGAAAAATAGAGTATCTCATCTACTTAGATAGAGAAAAGAACTTCTCCAGGTTTGGGCACTTTGTTAATTCATTCTTCACAGTGCCGGCTGATACCACCACTCTTGCCTCAAGAAGAGCAAGTGTAATACTAAAATCTTTCCCTTGACTAGCAAATACTAGTCAAGGGGAATATCATTTTGATAATGTGCTTACCTAGCATTTAGCTGGGCAATGCAGGAGGAGCAAGAAACTTTCAGCAGAAAAAGAAAGGCTCTGCTTAATGTATGTATTTGTGTCTGTATGTAGCCCCACAATAATATACTTCTGAAACTGCTTGAATGAATGAATGATTAATGTTAGCTAAGCAATTGGACCTTATTTGATAAAAGGGATTTGTAGTTTTTTTAGGGGTCAAAAATGGGGCTGGTTTTAAAAACAAGAGAATGGAAGAGATGAAAGAATCCTTATCTCTGCCTTGCTAATTAAATTATTATCAAACTCAGATGAATGTAAATGAACAAACAAAATGGGATTGAGGCTACTAAGGCTACTTTAGAGTCAGGCAGTCAAGTTCTTTTAGATGGTCACTACTACTCTAGTCTAGCATAAAGGCCAGAGGTCTGTTGCAGCAGCTTCCTCTCCATAGCTGTTTCTCCAATCAGTCCTTTTCTAACATCTTTTGCAAATATCTCCTCTCTGCTATGTGTTCTTTAAATGCCTATTGCTTTGTTCTGAAACTCCTCAGATCCCCTGGTATAGCAGTTCCTTCTACATTAAGCCTGATAGGATAATTTTAAAAATATCCCATTCACAAGACACAACACAGTTTCTAATCCCAGCACACCAAAATGGGATGGAACATTCAAAACACTTATGTCTAGAACAACAATATTCTAGATTATGTGTAGAATAAAACAACTGGAATATATTTGTGTTTTTTTTAAAAAACAAAAAACAAATAGTTTTAGGGATCCATTTTCAGATATACATTAAAAATGCAAAATAAAAATAATTTATCATATACAAAAGCAATAATGTTACACAATGAGAAAGTATATATAAAGAACAAAAAAACCTTTTAACTTATCTCAAATTCAGCTGATATTGTAAGTCTTTAAAGTAAGCTTTCATTGTGGACTAAATTTGTTCAGAATTTCTTCCAAAAAGGAGAAGTAATGAAACATTTTTTTTCATTAACCAAAGATATGCTTTTCTAAAAAAAAATGCTAAAGCACACATCTCTAAAACCCATTCCTTTATATTGGGAATTACAGTTTTCCCATTTCCTAAGGATTATTTTTTTGCTATTGTTAGAGCATGAAAAAGTCATTTTTGTTCTGAACATGTTAAATTTCAAATAATTGGTATGTGATTCAATACAATGTACATGTCTTTAAAAACTAATTTTCTCATTAATTCTGTCAACTGTGTAACATTATTAAAAAGAGTGTAAGGAACATGGCCACAATAAAATTGGACTTACAATGACCTCAAATTTCTTGTAGTGCTAACGTAAATCATCATTAGTCCGTCCTTTAAGAATAATTCTAGGTGTTTCCACTAGATACAAAAAACAATATTTTGATGAATTAATTTCAGGTTTAAATCACAGAATATAAAATTAGCACTCTTCAAAACTTAAATCCATTGGTTGTAAAGAACCAGTTTTCAATTCTTGATTCCAAAATTCTTGTATAGTGATTATAGATATTTTAAATTTCCCTTTAGTTTTTAACAGAAAAAAGTAGGTTTGGGTTCTGATATTGAGTTCTTCAGTAACAGCAACATGACCATTATTTTAGAAGCTGCTAACTTATCAAGTCTATAGTGAACTATACAAACCTGTTTTAGTTGGATTTATCTCAATTTTTTGTATTAGCAGTAACGAAAACTCTGTTTGCAGTTGCTGAAAATATTTCAATCATTAAACGTGTTATAATCAAGCATGAATAGTACATATTCAGAATATTTTGTAGAGTCGTACTTTAAATGAAAAAACATCCTGAATACATACAGGAATTTTTGAGAACAAGCATTTGTGCTCAAGGCTGCATATAATACACCCACTCAACAATTGTGTAAAGTGGATTGGGCTGATAATGTGACTGGCACAAATCATCCTCTTTCATATATAATTGATGACTAGAACCTATAGTCTCCCAGTTTCCATCCAGAACCTTAACCACTAAACCAAAAGTAGCTTACGGGGACAGTGACAGTAACAAGCTTTCTAATATTGTCCTGCAGTCAATATCTACTCATATTTTTAAAAGTATTCAAGAGTATTATGTTCAGTAGTTTCTCAGCAGAATAAACACGGCTGGTGGATGAGATTTCTGTTTTCCTTCTACACATCTTCCCATGCTAGATCTTTTTCAGGAAGTCAAAAACCCTCTACAACAGATTTGAAAACCAGCATAAAAGAAAGGAGTGAAAGGAATTTCCCTTTGCATAACTAAATGAACACAGTCTGGTATGTCAGACTTTGTTATTCATTATTGATCTTTTGTATTTTCTTCTGTCTCCCAACAAGGCGGGGACTCATGGAGGATGATGCTGAACCCATCTTTGAAGATGTAATGATGTCTTCCCGAGGTCAGCTCGAGGATATGAATGAAGAATTTGAAGATACCATGGTTATTGATTTGGTCAGTAATTTTATCATTACAATTTTTTTGTTAATAATGTGGCTACTACTAAACTTAAAGTCATATAAACAGTACTGGCTAAGTATCCTGCTATAATGGGAAGTGAGTGAGAAATAATTGTTGAAGCAATTATGTTTCTTACGAGCCTTTCAACCAATATATAGATGGGTGTTTTTCATGTTACTTCAGCCTTGGAATCTCTGAAGCTTATATTAAATCATAGGTTTTAATTCTCGCAACTTCTTTTATCTCTTTTAGTTTGAAATGAAGGATTAGTACAAATATAAATGTATATGCCTAAACTCAACTGACAAAAGCTTTTTTTACAGCCTCCTTCAAGGAACCGACGGGAAAGAGCTGAATTGAGGCCAGATTTTTTTGATTCTGCAGCTATCATTGAAGATGATTCAGTAAGCATTTGAACAATATTATTTGTGATTTAATGAATAATTTTCTACAGCCTAACCTTATTTTCCATTGTATTTTTTAGGGATTTGGAATGCCAATGTTCTAAAATCTGGTGAAGACATTATACAAATTTGGAACTCTGTTCTTTAGAGCTCAAGGCCTATATACTGTGATAGCTAATATTAAAACCACATTTTGATGTGATTTGGTTTGATTTTTAACCAAATGATTAAGGTCATTTCCTTTTTGTAATGACAGAGAAGAGGAGCTTCTGAATGAAACAAATATTGGCCAATCAGTCAACTCAGAAAGGCTGACCTACAAATCATTTATTTTCTCTGTCCTTGACAGTCCTAATACAGGTTTTTTTCTTGGATAGGGAGGAGCTTTTAAATTAAGACTATACTGTTCTACATATGTTTTCAGAAAACATTGAATGAAAACAAAACTTTTTAACTTTATTTTTCTGCTGTACAACTTCAAAATGTTTTAACATTTGCCTTTTTATGTTTTAGAAGCTAGCCATTTTTATTAAATTTATGCCTGTCAGCCATTGACCAGCAGCGATGCTAATCAGCAAGCCATCCTGGTTGGAGAAGTGTTGTTAAACACACTGAATACGACAAGCAGTATGGTACACTTCTAGATCTTCTCTGACCATTGAGAGCGGAACAGTCTTACAAAAGATGTTAGAAGTCAGATGTGTGCATCTCTGCCAAAAAGTCAGATTCTGAAAAGAAAAAAAAAACAGATTTTATACTTCTGAGAAGATTTATTTTTATTTATAATGGGGCATAAGAATAAGAGATGTCCATGAAGCCACTTTTCCAACAGATGCTGTGTAACATTCATTTTATATAGCACTAGGGGAACACACAAACAGCACATTTTCTATTGGTACTTGTTCTGTGCATTTTTAGCAACTTATACCAGCAAATAAAATATTCTCAGTAAAATAAACCAGTGGTTCTACAGTAATCTATTTGCTGTTTCTACTACCTATTTCACTCCCCATCAGACCTGAGATACAAAAGCAGCAACTTTCTTATGAAGCATAAATCACAAAGGGAAAAGGGGGGTGCGGGTGGGACAGGAGCGGGACAGGACACTTAATTTTCAAAGCAATTTTAACTGTACCATAGAGAAGTGTTTATCTTTCCATGCCGTAAATATCCTTTTGTGCTATTTTTGTAAATTAATTTTGCCAATTAGATTTATTGTATGTGCTGCATAGAAATTGTATTTAGATGGTGACATTTTAAGCTTACAATGGAATACAGCTACAGTCTCAGTGTTAACTGTGCATTATTAAGAGTAATTACTATATGATCTTTAAGCAGTTCAATCCAAAAAGTAATAAGCTGAATCATTGTTCTAAGAAATTTTCCATGGTGTTCAGTGATCTGGTCTTTTATTCTGCTTAAATATTACAATTCTTCCTGGTAGCTGCTAATATAGTTAAAGGATTTTTTCTTCACTTCTTGTGAGCGTAGCTCCAGCTAATAAGAACATCTGTTAAAATGAGGCCAAATTAATAACCCCTTTTTTCCTCTTTTGGGGGAATTTGAATGTAAGAAACTCAGAAGCTGACCTTAACTCATGTTTGATACATCCACTGTAGAAGTGCTTTTATATAACAAGTGCAAAACGACTGTAGTCTTCTCTCTTTTTAAAAGGTCTTTTAATGAATTTAAATTATATTTAATGCATATCTGTTGAAACTTAAAATTTTAAGATCAAATAACGCTACTTTCATTTAGCAGTTGAGACTTTTACCTCTAATATTTGTAGTTGTCTCAAAATTATGATTACCAAAAACATTTGACCTACTAATTCAGCCATTCCTCTACTGTAGCTTTTAAAAAAGTTTAAAGTTGCTAAAGTCACTGGGCTGGTGCTTCAGGACAAAGTGCAAGTTCTCTTGAAAAAGTGGTAAAAATTATTGCAAATAGCCCTTCAGTTTGATGGGCAGAATCATACTGTCCTTGGTTTGAACCCAACATAGGCAAGTCTTGCGCCCCACCACCCTTAGATGAAAAACTGAAATGTCATTGATCATTACAGAATACTGTAAAACAAAAGCTGTTTTCAAGCAAGTTACCTCCAGTGGGTTTCCAGTTTAGTTTTCAGTCAGTAAGGTTTTTTTTTTTAATGTGTCTCCTTGATTGGTTTTGGTAGTAATTCTGTAAATTGTACATTTACAACATGAGGGTTTTTTCCTTTTGTACAATTTAAAACTGATGCTTCACTTTTCCTTTAATAAACTCCTCAAAATCATATGTCCAGTAGAGTCCTTTCCACAAAAGCATTTCAAACTAGTGCTTTCTCTTCCGTTTGCCTTCCATTTAAAAAAATCTTATAGTGAAGCTTAAAAAGCTGGATTCATTGCACTTGTCATGATTACTTATGTTACTGCATGCCCAACATTTTTAGGAAAATATAAAATTTTCTTTCTCAATGAAAACAAAAAATGTTTATGATCCCTCTGTATCACAGATGTGGAATTTGGGCTTAGCATTGCTCTGGAACATTCTGTAGCTCAGTTTTCACAGGAAGTCTTCCCTTATTAAAAGCCAGATCACATAGCAACATTGTAAGAAACATCTTTTAGTAATAAATAAATCATTGTTCTTCCAGAGTTTTCCATATTTATTCCATGTTTTAAGTTATTTGGTTCATTCCCTTTATTAGTTTTCATTGACTACGTTTTTATCTTTTGGTCTTTAACTTTTGACCACCCTCAGAGTTAGGTTATAATAGTTATTTTCCTTTAAAGGTTCTGTGGCTTGTTAATGGACATTATGGTGCCCCAAACTGGATACAATGTTCTTGGAACATTCTGATGCAGCATTTAAAAGAGTGATTTTCATACTCTTCGTTATATTTTTGTTGATAGTGCCTGGGGTTGCATTTCCTTTTTTTGAGGGAGTGGGAGAAAAATAGCAGGAATAGCATCACAAGGTTGGTTCATATTCAGCTGATTTTCCACTATCTGTAGATATTCTTCATGCATACTCCTGCCAAGTACAATTCCTCCCATCCCATATTTACACCTTGATTCAGCCAGCATTGTTATCAATCCAATCCCATTTTTGTAGAGCAAATGGCCTGCCGTTAAAAGAAAAGTACCAGTTTCATCACAGTCAATTGATTTGATTTTAGAATTGTCATCTTTTTTAAAAAATGGATTTTTTCTACAAATGATTGTGTGTACAATTGAACAAAAGTTGCTGCTCAGTGGAGTTTTTCTGTAGTGCTAATGCCACATCTTTCAAATCCTCAGGTAATGATTTGTTCTATTTTTATCTTCGAAAGTGGTAATTTTAACACCTATTTATATGATGTGATAGTGAATTATGTATCTTTAGAAATGGCTCACTCTATATCATGGCATGAAGACAAGGTTATCTTACAGCCACATTCTTAATTTTGTATTCTACTTTGTACTAATATAGCCTAATTTCCGGTTTCAATGTTAGCCAGGACAGGACTTTTTATTTTACAAGGCATAATTGTGGACACCCTGTTACCATGTTTGTCATTAGATTGTTGCTACTTTACTATTGTTACATTGTCTTACCAGTATGGTTCCCAGTATCACCCCAGTGTTCATACCTTTTCCACTAGAGCAACAGTTAGGTTGACTGCATTCATCGGTGGTATCCCCTATCCTGATACCAGCCATTTTGTAAACTAAAACCAACTAGATGTTCAAACTAAAAGCAGAGTTTAGAAATGCTGCCTTATTGTTCATGATATCGTAATTGAACCTCATTCTATCTACTCTCCCATATTTCTGATGCAGAGAAATCATGATGGAAATAATAAATTGCTTACCTGTAACCTGGCAATCTGTACATCCATATGAACTACCAACTTTCCAGGTCTTGGTTTTGGTTTCCTAGGACCACAGTGATAGTACAAGAATTGGGACATCTAGCTTTTCAGGAAATTGACATTCTGCCAAAATTTCTGCAGCATTGGTTTGCATACACAGATTTCATACAGTATGAATTCAAAGAGCTGTTCAGTAACTAGTTACAAATAAGCAATTTCTTGTTCTGTCCATTGGTTACCCTTTTGAAAAATAAGGTTTCCCATTGCTCACATGTTCAAATCAGTAGCATTTCAAGGACTATGTGAAAGTGAAATCAAATGGAATTGTGATCTGAAATATGTCCAAACACTACACATTTCATGAGCTGGTAGAAAACAATGAGATATTTGTTTTCACTAGAGGAGCAAACCTCTGACTTTTATGGTATAAGATTCATATATTTTTACAAAAGGGTTCCAGTATTCTGTAATTATTCTTTAGTTCTTCCCAGTGTCCTAAAGATCTGATATTCCTCTGCCCTAGTTCAGTTTTGCCAAAATTGCAAATTCTATAAATTTACAGAAAAATTGCTTGAATGAAATCATGCTGGTTGAAAATTCTAGTTTTGTCCATATCAGGTTAGAAAAATTATTGTTGAATAAATATTCATTGTCAGTGTCAACTGTTAATTTAGAACCTTAAGAAACTACAACAATTTAATTATATTTTTATCTAAGAGAAATAAGAAACTTAACTAGATTTTCTCCTTCATATCAACAAGTTCAAATTGGACTATAAAAAGGGTTAGGCCATATAACTTTTACAAGACTCAACAAAAATTTAGTTTAAAGGCTGAAAATGGATACTCTCAGCAGTGATGAAAGGTAGATAACAGTTGCTATATTTTTGTTGAAAAAGACTGCCTTTGTCATTCTTTGGCTGAAAATGTTATATTATTTTCTTTGTTCCATTTTCAATCCATAAGAAATATATTGAAAAACAGTGGGCAATTACTTAGATCAGTTTGGAGGAAGAAATAATATATTTTGTTTTATCTGTTTTTAATGGTATGTGTCAGGTGGTTCTGCACTAACTGCACAAAAGATTTAAAATGATATGGATAGTGTGCTTTAATTGTATTCAAATTTTGGTGTGTGTGTGTGTATACACACACACACACACACAACCCAAAATATATATATAATGGCAAGAAGTAATGAAATTTACAAATTCTGCAAAAGTACAAATCAGTGAGAATAAGTAGAATTTGCTGGGTGGGAATTCTTGGTTTTAGACCAATGTATCTGGAAGTTACCAGTATGGGGAAGAGCGAGTAAACAAAGCATAGCAGATTTATTTTGAGAAGGTGGTATAATTACATTTTCTATTACAAGTACCTTGATTCAAGACAGAAAGGTAGAATATGAATTGAATAAAGAAGAATACAATTTGGACAATTCAATGAGCAAAAAAATCAGACTTTCATGACATTTCTGCCGTCTCTGCTGATTATGCAAATTTCTTCCAGCTGATTAAAAGTGGAACAGTTTGTATTAGACTTCAGAAAGGCCTTGTGAGCTCTTACATCACTTTTGTAGCAGTTCTGTCGTATACACTAATAAGATTTAGTCTGTGTTCACATGATATACTGAACCATAAATTAACCTAGCATATTTCAGTTGGGTATATTATGTGAGCCTTGAAATCTGGTGCAGCAATGGCTAGGTTTGTCAGGATAATGTAATCTTTGATATTTTGATGAGTAAATCATAGTTAATTCAGTAAGTCTTACTCAAGTACAAAGTTGCTAATTTTTGTCCTGGAATTATAATTTTGATCTAATAGAAATGACAATCTCTACCTGTATCAGCCTGAATTGTTCTGTTCTTTTAATATTGTTTTGGCATCACAGCTGTTGATTTTTTTCTAAGATTAGTTTAATACATCTTGTATAAGATAGCTATACTGGCAGGTGGTTTAATTAATTGTCCTGCTTTCATCAAAACATCTGTGGCAATACCTGTATTTTTTTCATACTCTGGAATATATTTTTCATCTGCATATAATGCAGACATTTTAAACAGACTTGTTGGCTTTGGGATATTGTGTTGTGTTCTCAATTATTTGTATGAATTCCTCATTCCATTCTTACATTATTGTGTTTTAATTGGTCCCTAAATTTCTTCTCTGATCTACAATAGCAATGAAGACATTGATAAGCTGGGCCTTAAAAATGCCATAGGTATATACATACTAAGATGCTTTTTTTAGAAAAAAATGTTGCACATTCACCCCATATGTGGAAATGGTCAGGAGCATTAAAATATTTGCACACACATTGGATTAATTCAGATATTGTTTTTAACCTCTCTCTTTTAGATAGCCATAGTAAATATCCATTTCTATAGCTCTTCTCTAAAATGTTTATAATGGACATTTACTGTAGTTCTTTTAATGGTTAAAGAAAAATGTTGAAAGCGATTACTGTAATAGTGGGCTTTATCTTTTGTATTGCAAAGCATTTTGCTCAGTACTGTTCTTTTTTTTAAACAGATTTTGTTGCCTTAAGAGATCTTCTGTTCTATCAATTCTTGAACATTTTAACATCTGGCTTCCAAGGGGGACACACCATTTGTAAAATTGGGCCATTGGAATCTGATGAGATAGTCACTTATGTAGCAGCTTTCTTGTAATGCAACAGCTTCCCTATCTGAACTGCTTGACTCTGGCAGGCTTGTTAGTGGTGTTCTTCAGGCTTATGGGGAACTTCAGCCTGCCTTTGCTTTGCCTGGGGTTGAGGGTAGTTCGGCAGTTCACGGCAACCATAGACCTGTCCCAGGTTGTTGACAGCCTGACTCACAAAAAGGTCATACATTAGTCCTGGTTTTTGTCTCCATGAAGTGGTGACACGATTTGGACTTGGGAGATGTCGTCATTAGTCTGTCACAGACAGCTCAAAATCTGTTAGCTTTGGTGTTTTCTGTGGCTGTCCCCCATCAATCATGGTATGTTTTTGGACTAGCTGAGGAAGTTGGGAGGAAGAGGCATGGTCTCTAGTGTTTCTCTTCCTCCATGTCTGGTTTCCTTTGTTGTTGAGAAGGCAAGTAGAGATTCAGCCCTAGGCTTTTGTTTTGTAGCCTGCCAAACTTCAGCTTTTTCCTTGCTCCCATTTAACATACATGTATAATCACCAAGTGAGGTAATCTGTCACCATTTTTTCAAAGTTTTTTCAAAACATTTTTTCACAAGTTTTGCTTTTTGAAAAACTCAATGAGTTTTGCAAACTGAATACACACATAATTTCAGAATGACTGTACTGCATAAGAATCTTGAGAAATGTGAAATTAACTATAATGTATTTAATCATGTTTGTGACACTACATTCAGCAGAGCTAAGTTTTTTGCTACTAATGTTCGTTTGTACTCTGTGTCAGATGCATCTCACTGCAGTGTCCAACAATAGCCAGCCAACTGATGGGTTCCCGTTGTCTGATAACCGTTTTTCTATTGTGGCAATGTCCTGTGAAACATTTCACCATATTCGTCACTTGACTTCACCTAGATTTGTAGGAAAGAAGTCCAAGTGTGAATGCAGAAAATTAATCTTCAGTGACATGTTGCACTTCATGGTCTTGTATGCTTTAAGAAGTTTGTTAACCAGCTGAATGTATTTTGATGGTCTATAGTTGCCAAGAATATTCTGTTTTTGTGATTAGCTGCCCCAAACCTGTAAGATATACCCCAAAGTGTTCAGGGAACAAAATTTTAGTTGCCAAATGTTATCAGTTATACATCTTTGTCATGTGCCATCCTCTATCTAGAGCAGCGGTCGCCAATCGGTGGGCCACGGCCCACTGGTGGGCCATGAGAAAATTTTGGTGGGCCGCAGAGAAATCTCATCCCCAGAGCACCACCCCAAAGCAATTAATCCAGGCTGTGCAGAAACATAAGGCTGCTCAGCCCACATGGCCCACGGGAACCCTCCCCACCCACTCACTCCTTACCCGGCAAACTTGTCTGCTAAGTTGCTATTTTTCCTTTTTCCGACCATCATCTGTTCTGCTCTGCCGGGAGATTTAGATTAGCTAGGAAGCAGGAAATGGTTGGATTTCTTGCTTTCTAGCTAAGCACAGCCAAACCTTCCTTAGGACTGAAGGTTTGCTTGCAAGCAAATTCAGTGCAGACTCACGGCAAGCAAATTTGAGAGACTGAGCTAGCCAATGGCAGATAGATAGATCACTGAATGATTCTGTGAGCAACTCAATCTACCTGCTTTGCCTGATTTTGGATAAAAGTTGCTCTTTTTTAAAATAAAAAATTCAACATTTACATGCATGGTGTGTTGTAAGTTAATTTTTTATGAGTTTGCTTGCAAGCAAATTTTATGTGACAGACTGAGCTAGCCAATGGCACACAGATTTCTGAATGGATCTGTGATTCTGTGAGCAACTCAATCTCCCTGCCTGCTTTGCCTGCTTTTGGGTAAACGTTGCTCTTTTTTATTAAAAAAATCAATATTTATATAAATATTTATAATATTTACATACAAGCCATGCCCAGCCAGTCACATGACCACCAAAGCACACCCACAAATTAGGCCATGCTCACAGAACCAGTTAGTGGTCCCTGGGATCTAAAATTATAAGCTTGGTGGTCCTTGAGGTCCAAAAGGTTGGCAACCTCTGGCCTAGAGGGCCCATCTAAGATCAAAATGTTTTTCTAATGCATGGAGAGTATTCAGGTTTGAATGGGGGAAGAACTAGCTTTAGCTTTCCCCTGAAAAAAAACGAGTGACTAAGTTCTAGATACTCCTGTTATCTAGTGATTTGCCATCTTTCATGCTAGTTGGGTACACAATCTGGAGGCTGTCCTGGAGGACATGTCTCCTATTCAAGGAACAGGTTGCAGCTGTGATTATGAGAGAGTTCACAAATATAATTTTATCAGCTGCATCCATTCCTAGGTCAATAAGCACTGCTGTCTATATACATGCCTTAAGTTATCTCCCAACTGTACTGCTGCAACATACTGTTCGTGGGACTACTCTTAAAGTGCTCCAAAATGCAGTGGCACCATAGTACACTCACATAACACTGCTGTTACATGATCCACACTGGCTCCCATTAAGCCTCTGAGTGCAATTCAATGTGTCCATTTTCACCTTTAAAGTCCTATAAATGTAGGCCAGGCTTGTGGCCTGTCCCCATTGGTTTCTACCCATCCTTCCAGATATAACAGAGTGTACATTTTACAGGTCTGTGATGAAGCAGCGTCACAAGGTGGGGCCTATTGTCCTCAATAAGTTTCTTGAGAGCAAGAAGAAAGTAGATCAGGAGCCATACATGTAGGAGGCTTAAATTGGTAATCAATCTGAGGCTGTAGAAATTTACAAGCTATTTCTATTTACCAGAACTAGATAACAACACGGTAAAATTGTATATTGTCTGTTTTCTTTCTAATTCATATCCTGCTTTTCACAATTATATTTTTCAATCGCCCTAGAATAATTCCTGATATTTTGCTTAAAGTATGTTTTATTTCACAATATACTTCTGAATTTGTGAATGTGTGTTCAACCTTAATCATGTCAACTTAAATATAAGCCCTTCTAATGGACTAAAATCTTATAGCACCTAATTCTCAATAGATTTTTGCCCATAGAAATATCCTAAAATATCACAGAATTTGAATCAATAAATTCGGCAGGAGTGCACGGATTTCCTTCCATCGATTTTAGGTTAACTTGAAGCAGATTCAGAGTGGCATGTTGGCATGCTTTTTCCAAGGATTGGATTGTCGTTTGCTTGCCAGCACTTCCAAATCACGGCAAATGCGAAGTCGAGTTGTTGAAGGTTGAATGATGTCATCTACAAATCCTGTTAACACATTTCAGAATGATTTATTTCAGTTGCTGTTTTATGTATATATGTCTACAGACGTTTGATCTTAATCTACAGGGATCAATCCTTCGTAATTATGCACTAATAAATATAAATAATATCTTTATAACTGG